CAACCCTATACTGTCAGATACATGGTTTAAACCAGAAAGGAAAGTACAATGAAAGTGTTTTGACTTAAAACTACTATTTAAAAAATAATTCCAGTATTACTGAAGGAGTTGATCTGACAGCGATTAGAGGAAAATCTAGAACAAGTAAAACTCAGCTTTTGTTTTTTTTTCCCTTTAAGGGACTAAATAATTAAATTGTCCTTAACCGTAAGTAAGTTTATTTCCAAGTCAGAAAAATGCATGTACTTCTATTTTTAAAAAATCTACATATATTATTTTTAAATAATCCATTTTGCTCGGTGTGGTTCAAATGCAAACCTTGGTTTCCTCTGCCAAGAATGCAAGCCTGACCACAGCTCATGTGTCTGGTGGAAAATCCCCAACACAGGGGGCCTTAACAAACTAGAGCATAAATGGGTGAGAGAAGAAATCAGCCCTGAACCAGCTGTGTGCATCCACAGGGATCCCTGCAGTGCCTCATGCCAAGACTGAAGGTGGTTTTTGACTGTTTGTTACAGAACCTACAGACCAGGCTGTTCTCAAGCCTTTCACAATACGTCCAGCAAAAGATGTGCTGTTGGGTCTAACCCCACAATTTGTGGAAGTTGGCACCATCTCTAGAAGATGGCTAACATTTCCAGAGGGAGGGGGACAAGGATGGGAGTGGGAAGAGAAACCAAGACCTTGTCATGGCTCAGGGTGAGTCCACAGCTATTGTAGCACTGCTGACCTCTAGAACCTTTGCAACACACTGGAGCTCTGCTGAGCCCCCTCTGCAGTGAAAACCTCCCAAAAAAATCACTGTTTTTCATCCAAGGCAGTCCTGACAAGGGTAATTAAGCTAAATTAGCTTAAATGGCTAATTAAGTAATGGATAGAAGGGATAGTTCCTCCACAACCAACTTAGCCAACACAAGTCTGTCTGGGTGATAGGCTGGCATGCTCTGCACTGCTGGTGACATCTGGGACCCGTGGCAAGAGTGGCCAAGGCATCCTCATGTGCTGTAAGGACAATGGGCAAACCTGGGGAAAGCTCAGAGATGTCCCCATCCCTACCCTAAGCACTGCCACTTAGCAGTTCCTCCTCTCTGCAAGGGTCAGATTTTCCTGAGGCCAGGAAAATCTCATGACAGGACTTCCAAAATCCTGAAGACACCCATGAAAGCTTGTGAACATCTGCAGTTCAACTCAGATATGTACTCATTTGTAAAGAAGACTTCAAAGCCTCCCTGTGCTTTCTGGCCCATTTATTCTAGACCAGTCTGCGTGAAAAGCAGCTTGAACTTGTTTCCAGGACAGAAATAATTATCCTGGACTGTATTTGTTCTGAGGAAGATGGTGAAGACAGTCTGATTCACCTCTTAAGGAAGTCTGTGTTCCCATTAGCTGATGTCCCCTCCACACCTCAGCAGCACTCACAGGCACTTCCACCACCTTAGCCCCAAGCCACTGCTGCTCTCAGCTGTTCCCCACCTGCCTCCCCCAGGCTTTGCTGCCTGAGGGCTTGGCAGGTGGATAAACATTACCTAGGGAACTCCTCCACCAAAAAAAAAACCCTCTTGCCTTTCTGCTGGGACAATGACACCCACTAGGATGACAGGGAGAGGCAGCGGTGGCAGCAGCCTCGGTGGCCAAGTTCACCCCACCACTGTATGTCTGTCTAAAACATCACACTCCTCCTCTGTGCCACCATGCTCCAGGGAGGAGACACTGCCCAGCAGAGGATTTACTAACAAAGCACACAAAAGAGGAAAAGCAAACTCCTTCCTCACCCCAAAAGCTATGTGTAAAACCACACCCCAGCTCAGGAGGTTTTTGCACTCTTCATTGTGGCTGGCCCCGCTCCCAGGGCCCAGCTAATTAGAGGCACAGGTCGTGTTGCCCTGTCACTTGCTGTGAGCAGCTGGAGGCACATTTCCTATTTTGGATCTGGCAGGAGAGAGCTCAGCCGAGACCATCCGGCTGCTGGGCTCCGTTCCTTGCCGGGCAGCTTGAGGGAAAGCAGGGAAGGGCAGTGGCAGGGACCAGCACCCAGTGATGCTCCCAGCACCACACAGGCAGCCCAGCAAGGGGCAAGTGTGAAATGAAATCCTGGGGCGTGGATTTAAGGCAAACAAGAGCTGAGGTTTTTGTTCCTTCCCTCCTCAAAGCATTTCATCCACAACAGCCATCTCCAGGCATCACATAACCAAATCTTTGAAGGATGGGGAAGCCGACTTTTTCCTCCCACTATCATCCCACCAAGAAAGGGCAAAAGTAGCAAGTCCAGGGTCACTTGCTTTTTCAAGATCCCCAGGTGCTCTTAAAGGCAGTGACACCACAGCACTAATTTACTGTGCAGAGATAAAACTGTTCCAATTTGTACTGCTATCTGCAGAGAGAGACCAGCTCAGCCTTCTACAGCTCTCATAACACCCTGAATCAGAGTTTTGTTATTTGTTTGGGTTTTTTTTCAATGGTACTTTATGCGTATGAGCAGTAAATATCTAAGCAGTGGTTAGACAGTTGTTAGCAACTTATCGATGCCTCTAGCTATCCTGAAGGATGTTTTCGGCCTTGTGACCAACATCTTCCCAGTCTCCAGACAGAAAAAGCATTCCAGACACAGTGTTACCCAAGAGCAAGAAGGATTTTGATTTCTGAACTTCAAATAAGGCAAATAAATGCCTATCAGACCATAAGCCAAGCTCAGATGAAGAACAAGTATTTTCCTTTATAGTTGTGAAAGAATTGAACTAAGTTGCTCCAGCTACCCCCATCCCTGGTACTGCTTGGTCTTTACAGTACTGAAGCAGCTCAAGCATTTGCTGGAGCATTGGATCCAGAGCCAAAATGGAAGTGTCAAAAGCCAAGACTGCAACAAGTGGTTAGGGGATCAGATGGTTTGCACGCCGTGCTGAGGTAAAGCCCACAAACAAGGGGCTGTTTAATAACCTCCCAGGCCAGCCCACAAGACCACTTGTGCAGGCAGTGCCAAAGTGCTGGGGCGGGGTGGTGGTGCTTGTGGGAAACCCCAGCCTGCAGGAGCCCCTTCCCTGGTGTTGGAAAGGTCAGCAGGGGAACAGCTGCCTGTGCCCTGGGGGCTGCAGGGGTGGCTGCTCTGATGTTCTGGTCTGGGAGTTGAGGGCAAGGAATGCTCCTCTCCTCCTCTTCCTGCAGCCTGAAGTATCATGCCTGGTACTCTGCAGCTTTGCTGCTCCCTGCAGCTTCTTTCTCCCACTCCCCTGTTGCCCTCAAAACCATTGTTTTTCCTCTCCCGTAACACACAGACAGCCTGGAAGAACAGCCTTTAACAAAGAACTCCAGCTTTGGGGTAGGGGAAAGGACACACAAAGAAACCAGGAGACACCAAATCCCTGCTTTCCTACTTCCCCTTCTCAGTCAGTACACACCCTATGATGGAAGTTTTCCTCCTTTGACAGTGTTTATTGCTTCTCCCTGTCCTGCAGCGCTGCAGCAAAGCCTGGCTGGCCTTTAAAAGCCTCCTGACAAATCCCGGGACCAGCACCCCGTGCCAGATACCAAAAAGTGGTTTGCAAAGGGAAAAAACAAAACCAACAGAGTTCTGGAGGCCAAGCCCAAAGAGGTTCCCGTTCCCAAAAGCAGGAACATTGTGTGCATGTGTATACTGCATGCCAGAGAAGAAAAAAGAGGGCGTATCAGTTGTAAGAGAAAGGAAAAATGGGGGGGGCAGGGGTGAGGGGGAAGCAAAAAGAAATCCCAGTCTTCAGACTCCAGAGGTCTGGCTGGGAAAGGCAGCAACTGAAAGAAATGCTCTGCTGTTATTACTGCATGGAAATTACAGCTGCCAGAAGGAATCCAGGCCAATCTGTTGCTGAATATAACTTTAAAAAGACAGCCAGCTTCAAATCATGGGCTGCTCACGAGTGTTGTAAAGTCAATGTGGTAGTGGGACCCACAGTCCTTCCCCAGTGCCCTCCAAACAGCAAAGGCTGACAACAAAGCAAAATAAGGGTGGAAGAGTAAAAATTGCTCAACAGCAATTGAGCAACAGGCAGGAGAGAGGGACTCTGCCCCATGCCCAGGTCCCCCAGGTTTGGGGAGAAAGTGTTAACTAGGGAGGTATCACTTGTTAGCCCCCCAAAAGAAGGTGGGGTTTGGACTGGTTTCTGGAAAGGAAAGAGTTTAACTTCTTGTGAGCTCCCTTTTCTGTTTTTAAAGATGAGATCTACAAAGGTGAAATGTTGCAAATAGAGGTCTGCGTGTGAGGCAGGAGAAGAGAGACAGCAAGAGAGAAAAACCCACAGCTAAACAGCAGGAGCATCTTCTGTAACCAGGAACAGCCAGGGAGAGGGCTCAGGCATGCTGTTCCATGGGCAAGCAGGGAAATGCAAAGGAAAACCCTTTCCAGAAAGTATTTTAGCTACAGGTGAGAACAGAACATCAGATCAGATGATGTTCCCAGCCCCATCAGCTTGTGCTCCAAGCCAGCTCCTGACTGGCAGCCAGCCCCTCCCCCTCGTCTGTGAGGGATCATTGCAGAACAGGGGAAAAACAGGGGGTTTCAGCTTCCAGCACGCTGTCAAATTAACAAAAATCCTGCTAAGCTTAAGCATAGTGCACAGAGGCCTCACCTGCCCCTCCTGGAGAATATGAGTCACACGCTCACCAAGCTTCGCTTCCCACTGCCAGCCACTCTGCTGGCTGCTTTTACTCCCTTTGGACAGGAAGCAAGCCAGGCTTCCAAGAAGTCCCCCCTCTTCCCAAACGTGCTCTGGAGAAAACCCACGACACCACAACACGTCTTCTTGCATTTTTAGCTGATGTGGATTTGGACCCTGCGCTCGGGCCACAGCCAACACTTATCAAAGGCTTCGGCTGGCACAGCAGGGAATACTTTGGAGAGCACAAGGGCAGCGGGAGGCATTTTTATTGTGACCTCCTTGTTGCTCACCTGGAGCTTTCTGGCCTGCTTTTGGGTACACTGCAGCATCCCCTGGGGCACACACCCATGCAGCAGCACCCCCACAGCTACTCACCGACGTAGAAGGTGTTGGGGGCCTGCTTGTCCCCCAGCTGCAGGTACAGGATATTCGTTGTCTGCGAGTCATGGCGGAGCCACAGGGCCACTCCCAGGATGATGCCTCCGGCCAGCTGGGGAGGAAACAGAGGGAAGCAAGGGTTACCCACTGCTCCAGCCACATTGGACCCAGACTGGAGCTTTCAGCCAGGAGCAGAAGACTTGCTTTTCATCTTCCTAAAAATGTACAAGGACGTCCTTTCTAACCATCACCCCTGCAACAAACATGCTTTGTGCCCCATAGATCATGAGCCATATGATCTTCCTTGCTTTAGGGGAAGATCCTCACCTCATTCTGGGGATGTGCAAAGCCCTTTCCAGTTCTTGCAGGAGATTTCTTTCCCAAGAGGTATTTTATTATTATTTTCAATGGAAGCAAGCAGGAACAGATGTGCCATTAAGGTTTTTAGGAGAACTTTTCAACAGAAGCTACGATCAGCCCCAGTTGATAACTGGGCTGTTATCACCCCACTTCATTTCTCTGAAAATGGGGGAGTTGCCATTTTTTCCCCTCTGCCCCCAAAGTCTTGGAAGCACACTACTTTCCATCCAGTGTCAGGCTTCCAGTCAAACACACCTAGTGTTTTTCAGGCACACAGAGCTTTCCTCAAAGTCCTAATACAGGAATTGAAGTGGAGCAGTGGAGCGAGGCCTGGGGTCAGGCCAAAGCACCATCACACCATTTTTGGGGGCTTCCAAAGGCTGCTGCGTTGCCCATGCTGTGAAACAGCAGGAGAGCAGAGCACCCACACCCACATGTGCACAGTGACACACAGGACTGACCAGGGCAAGGACAAAAACACAATCCAGATGTGGGAGGAGATGTTCTGTGCATGGGACATCGACTCAGGCACTGAGATATTTATGTACAAACAATGGGAAGTTTTATGACTGACTTCCTCACTGTTTTCTCTTTCAGGGAGGGGCTGGGAAAGGCTGCAGAAGGTGGGAGTGGATATGGGGCACTACAGCAGGGAAGGTGTCACTGAGAGGAACTCAAGGTAGAGCTTTTCCAGTAGGACTCCCTGTGTCCTCTGTGACATCCCCCTTCCATTTAAAAGTATAAGCAAGAAGGGAAAAAATACAAACATCTGGAAAAAAACCCAAACCCTTAAGAATTCCAATATCACTGCTGTGAAATACTGAAATCACCGGTTCAAATGCCAATTTAATTTTGAGTGTCCTAAATCCTTAAAGCCATTCATCTTAAAAAAGGGAAGAAAACTACCAAAGAGTATAGAGGTGGAAACATGCTACTTCTAAAAGTCTGAATCAGGTCAGCTACAGGCATGATAGGCACCATGAAAGTCACATTAAAGAAAAAGAAAAAAAAAAGGAAAAAAATCAGGGCTTTTTCAGAAAGGTGCGAAGTCTCCAGTTGTGCAAGCACAACAAGGAACAGAGGACTGGGACCTGCAAGACAGGCTGTCGATGGGAGCCTGGTTTTCCCCCTTGGGAGCTCAGCTGGTGGTTTCCTCCTTGCTCATTTCTACAAATCCCAGCCACAAGATTTTTCCAGGAATGCCACTGAAGCTGGGGCAAACAGACACTATTTCCAAACTCACAGGGCAAACTGCTCTCAGGGCTTTTCCATTATCAGAGGGAGAAAAGCCCCAACAGCTCCCGGAGAGGAAGGGAAATCTTTACTTTTCCCCAGTCTGCCAAACTAATCCGCTTTTAACACTTCTCCCACAACAACCAGTGCAACCTCCCTGCTGGCACAGTCCTCATCCCTCCTTCACTGAGGCCAGCCTGAGGTTCTCCAAACACTGGCTATGGAGAAAAGTCACGAAAGCCAGTCTGTGCTTGAGTCCAGCTCCAAATAAGGCAGGTTGTGGCTTCGCATAAAGTTACCCAAATCCTGCCTGGAGTGGCTCGTTCATTGTCTGAAGATATAACAAAGTCTGTGTTTTTACTCTCAGAGGAAAAAAAAATGCCCCCTAATTAATCCATGCCACTCAAAGTAAAGCCCTCTTGGTAGCTGCCTGGAGAGAAGACATCCCAAGAAAAGTTTGGATTTCTGTGCTGGCTGGAAGAGGTAAAGAAAAAAGGCTGCAGTCTTTTTGGTTTTGGCTTCTTCCCTGCAAGGACACATTGCTCTGCCCTGACATGCTGCCCTTCACACTCAGCAGTGCCACCCCAGCACACCCTGCCACCCACAGAAAAATTGGGGCAACACCAGCAGCTCCTTTCCAACCAAATTTGCTTTAGAATGCCTGACAGAACTGAAAGCAGGCTGCAAGTGGTCCTCAAGATATTTTGTAGTCATTGGGGAACACCAGCTAGAGGGATGGAGCCTCTTCCAATGCATCAAACCCAGCCCAGCAGTGAGGTCTGCCTAAGCCAGCCAGCTGAACCAACTCCAGATGTTCCTGGTTTCATCCTGAATGGGAACATCACACATCCGTCCCGCACCGCCTGACTCCATTTGCCTTTTTAACAGAGCATGGAAGACCTCTGAATTGAAGCTTTAATCCAATAGCAGCTGCATTTCTTAAGAGCAAACGACATTCACTTACTAATGAAAACAGCGTTAGGGCTATGATGAGTAACTTTTTCCATGAAAACCATACATCCTCCCACCACAAAGAAGCCCAAAATGGAATTGAGGCTCTTTCTTCCCAAAGCAAAGAAAACAAGAGGGAGAAAACATTGTCAGCTTGCCACGGTAACTCTGCCTGCCGCTGTACCTTGCTTGGGATCATCTCATTTTTAATAGACCAGCTTGTTCCAGATAAAAGCTTGATATCTTCTCCCCCTTCCATCTGACAACTGCTGTTTGCCAACAGGAGAAGAGCTCCAACCACTGATGGCAGCGTCACACTGATCTCTAGGCTGCACATCCTCATACATATCACTGTTTTTTTCTGCTGTGGCTACCTGTAATCTCACACACTGATCTTGTGTTCCCAGCTTGTCAGACAGCAGTGTTGCAGAGGCTGGGGCCATCGCCTGCCATGATATGGTCTGAGTGCCCACCACAGCTCCCCATATAAATTTTTGAGGACTGCAATAATCTAAAAGCTGCAACTTCAGCAGAGCCAGCAGTGTGCTGGACTTTGACCTGCTTTCCAAAAGCCCTCCTCCCCAGCCTGCTGGCACTCATGGAAGGCACAGCAGTGGTGCTCCCCAGGACAGGGCTGGCCCCAGAGCTCAGGCCCTGAGCAGCTTCCCGGCACAGCAGAGCTGGTGTTGCAGGCTCCGACGTTTCCTCCTTACTGCTATTTTCCAGCTTCCAGAGATTTATTGCTTCTTCCACAGACAGCTAGACTTTTCCAGCTGGATCCTGCCTGCCCAAGGCTTGCTTCTTCAGGAATGCCATTCCTGGTTGACACAGCGGGGGGGGGGGGAAGTCCCCATGGAATGCTGCCTAGGGGCAGGAAAAGGCAGACCCTGTGTCCCCAGGAGGTGATGGGATGGTGAGGAGATATCACCAAATGAGCACCATGATGAAAGTGGGTGTGCAGCCCTGGTTTGCTGCCCAACCCACTGTGCACATAGGGAGGCTCCTTCCTGGACTGAGCCTCACCAATGGACATGCTGTTCACCCTAAAATTTCCAGGGCAAGGGAATAAGCCCATTTTTCACAGCTTAGTCATTCTTCTCTATAAGAAATTCTTACAAATTAGGGGTGCAAGGAATAACCCCATTCTCCTTTTAAAGTGGTGTACCCCACTTCTGAGTTGCTTTAACCTGTTGCTCCCTAAAACTCATATATGCCAGGATGTGCATCACCTCCCTGGTCCCTTCTGCTGCCCCCAGCCTTTTTCCTCCTGCTCCCTTCCCTCCACCCTTCTCTAAAACAGATTTCCTAGAAGGGAGGAGGAGAAGCAAGAAGTTCTGGCTATAGGGCAGCTTGCCAGGCATGCCAAAGCAAAGCAGACAGACATCTTGTGGCTCTGGTCGGCGAAGTGGGGACGTGGAGGTGCCAGCAGTTTCACAATGCTGTACTTCCCACAGCCATGGCTGGTCCTGCCTCCAGGTCCTGCTTCCCGACCTGTGAGAGCCCAAGGGCTGGGAGAGGCTCTTGCCTTGCTGGAAAAGCCTTGCTGGAAAAATGCTGCTGGCAGAACTCATGACATGCCTGGGAAATACCACAGTTACTAACAAGAGCAGGATGCTGCCAAGAAAGCTTAATGAATTTTAGCTGGTTTATGATTAAGGCAGACGACTGGAAGTTTTTAACAGGTTCTCATGCCACAGAGGTTTGCAATTTCCTTTACACCACCTGGAAGCAGAGCCCTTTGTGAGGGCAGCACCCAGACCCCACCAGAGAAGCCCAACCAGAGCTCCCCATGGCTCCTCTCCAACACAACCTGCAAAGCAGCTGAGATGGAGTAACAAGGAATGCTCCTCTTTTCAGGTGTGGGGAACAAGGACAGAAAAGCAAAGAGAAAAGCAAAGTGGTTTGCCAAGGTTGAAATATCTTCCCATGCAAGAAGCCTCTCGTATAGCCAGGAACAAACTGCTAATTTGGCATTGAATGCTTCGCTCCCAGGTAATTTGTGGGTCTCTAGGTGAAACAGCATGAGTAGACAAAAAGCAATGAGATGGAGACTCATGACTTGATGGAAACTACCTATGGAAGGGCAGTACAAGCCCTTGCAAGATCTGTGCTAGCACATTACAGGTCCTGCACTACCAGCCAGAAGACTGAGTCAGGCAAGAGACATGAAATGTGCCCGAGCAGCACCACACCTTCCCACAGCCTGCACCTCACCTCCTGGAAAGCAGAAGATTCATTTCTCATGGAACTGCTGAAAGGGTGTGGGGTGCAGCAAAGGGCTGACAGCTGAATGGTGGCCCAGCAACGCAGGAACCAGGTGCTGAGACCATCTCCATGTTACAATGTCAAGTCTTCACACCAAAACCTCAGCTGAAATTTTAAGGTGAGATGTGCTAGAGATCACTGCTGTGCTGCATGCTGGGGTGGACTGTGGGATGCCCTGGAGCCCCTTGAGAGGGTGTAAGCAGGGGAAGGGACTTGAGTGAGACACAGAGTTGTAGTCTGACAGGCACACAAGGCAGAAGGTTATCTCAGCACAGGCACTCGCAGGCAGCAGGGGCAGGCAAGGCTTTGTGACAGCACAGACAAGGTCTTTCTGCTGCTTTCCACAGCCACTAAAGGTCAGGCTGAAAGTTTGCAGGCAAGGCCTGCCCAGGAACTGCAGGAAAGGCATCTGGGAAGCCTGCAGCCCTGCTCCCAGCAGCACACCTTCCAGCAGCGGCTATTAATAGAGCTGCCAGCCGGAGCAAAATTCTCCACTGGTGCCTATAGTTACCAGCCCTACAACACTGCAGAGCTTTTCAAAACAAGCTCCAGAGGAACACTCCCAGAGGAGCAGCATGCCAGAGGCCAAATAAAACTTGATGGATGGGAGGAGAATGGGAATCCAGCACCAAAATCCAGGAGCGGGGTCCTACCGTGGGGAGCACCGTGCCCACAGGCTGCTGCCAGCCTGCCCCAGCCCGATCCCTGCTGCAGATAGAAGTAGCACTTCCCAGGGTTTAACTGCTCTCAACAGAGAGGAAAACAATTTGAGATACTGCTTTTAAATTAATTTGGCCCCGTACATAAGCATTTAACTACAATGGGGATACAACTGCTTTCCCTTCTTAATAGTACAGTGAAAGGCACTTCCACAGCGCAGGATCAAAGTGTTTCTCTCTGTTAATGCTCTTGCAGAAGATAAGTATTACAGTGGCAGATAGGAGAATAACGTGAGAAAAACAGAGCAATCCCCATTCCAGCCAACAGCACTTCCTCCTTTCAGCCGCAGCCCAGCCCATTAAGTGCAACCGGGTACCCCCACAGGGCAGGGTGCACCCATCTCTTCAAAAAGCCTTCTGCACACAGAAACTTCAGAAGAGGTTTTGTAGGTGATGGGAGGGCTGTGCTCACTTGGCAGAGTGCCCTAAAACATCCCAGAGAGACATCAGCAACAAAATTTGAGCGTAGGTAACTGAGCCTGCTAAGGAAACTTAGCTGCAGAGTCAAACACACAGAAACATGCTTGCCTGTACATTGTCCCAGGATGCCAAATAAAATCTGTGGAAGAAGATGCTGGGCCAGCATGAGGTCCTTGCTGCTCGCCAGGCTCTCTGCAATTCCCAGGGAAACCAGCAGCCCAACCAGCCAGGCACTGCCACCAGTGGCATGGGAGCAGTGCTTGGCCCACGCCTGCACCCACTACAAGATGCTTTGTTAGTCCACAGTTATTTCAAACCTGTGTTTCAAAGCTACAGGAACCATGAGATCTTCCACTCTTCATTTAAAGCTGTGAGCAGTGGTACACAGCCACCCTCCTCACCACAATGAGAGGGTCAGGTGCCACCCAGTGAAAGCGTTACCGTGGGACAACCACCACAGAGAGCTGCCACCTCCCATCACTAACACCAAATATCTCTGTGCAGGCTTTGCAGACTCCAGGCTACAGCTAACAGATCTTCTGGGGTTGCACAAGAAAACACGCAGCTCCTCTGCCTCTTCCCTTTCAATCACCCCTGTCCAGACAGACTCTCACTTCCATCTTCCCTCTGTTCTTGCCCTTCCTTCCCTTTGCACCCAGGCTGTACAACACCCTCAACACACAGAAGAGTTAGGCAGTGCCTGGAAAATGGCATTAGGAGCAAGCTCTTCCTTTTAATTAGACACCTCTCTGCTAGGGCAGCCAGCAGTGCTCTTGACCTGGAACACTGCCATGGGCTGTATTAGCTAATAAGCTTGAGCAATCTTTCTCCAAGCAAGTCAATTCCTCCTTGGTTATGTTTAATTATATTTTAAAATAGTTCACTGGCTTCCTTCAGCCTCCCCAGGGACCCTTTGCAGCAGTGGTCAGTTCAGCCCCACACACTGAGGTCTGCTATAAGGTTTGGAAAATTCAGGAGAGCAGTCGTAAGTGGAGCCATCCCAGTTGTAGGGATGGGATGGAGAAGCAGCTCCACCTGCCAGATGGCCAGCCCTGCCTGGGCTGCCCATCACACCAGCCAAACTGCCCAGTAACAGCTACTGCTCCCTCTCACAGGGCAGGGTGTCCACTCAACACCAGCCACTCCAGTTTCAGAACAACTTGGCAGCATAGAAGAACTTTTGTCTTTTCAGCCCTATGTTTTGCTAACCAGGTGAAGCCCACAGGTGCTGACCATGGCCTCCTCCACCACTTCAGTAGGTGGGTGCCACTGTGAAACACCTGGGGACCCTCTCTCCTGGGACAAGCACTCATTTGTACACGTGGTCCATGCAGCAACCACTGCTCCCTTGAGAGCCACCCTTGGAGCAAGCACAATCTTGGCATCTTCTTCTCAAGAATGCATGCACAAAGGACAAGCAATCCCCCCCCCCAAAAAAAATCAAATAAAACAGAAACATCTCAGGTACAATGAACGAGGAGCTGGCAGCAGGGTCACCTTTTCCTTTTTCAACACAGAAGCTTTGTGAAATTTCCCCTGTGCTGTCAGGGGAAGGCAGGGGGAGGAAGCCAGAGGGGAGTCAGTTTATTTACACTCCAGCAGGATAGCGGGGCTACATAAAAAACTTATCAGAGTAACTAAGGCTGAGAATTGCTTCCTTCTTCCTCTTGGGCACTAGAACAAGCTCCTGTGCAGCTCAGCATGTTGCTTGCCAAACTTTGGGCTCTACCTCTGGCTTGTTTTCATCAACAGCACCCAGCAGCAGCTGCACACAAGGCAAATCATAAGCAAATAAGCACGGCGAGTCCATCAGCCCTTACATAATAACCAGCTGGCGGGACTAAAGGGCTGCAGGTGCCCTGTCTCACACCTCCCTGTGGTTAGAGGTGGTTTCCCAACACAGCCAACCTGCAATGAGGGTGGTCACTACATTCAGTCCTTAAATGTCACCCTGCAAAAAGGACCGTCGTACTTTGCTGTTAAGCACAGAATCCCTCCCTAGTTGGGGGTTCCAGGATGGCAGCTAACCTACCTTTGTGGTAAACCCTCACTACTAGTTCAAAAAACAACACAAAAGGGCTTGAGAACCCCATGATCTGGTATTCAACCACCATTCAGCTGGCTAGCCTCACAGAAAGCACTGTTAATTCTAATCAAATCCAGGCTCCCAGTCTGCACAGGAGACAGTGCAAGCGGACCAGCAAGTCCAGCACTGGGAGCTGTTTTGGGGAGCCAGTGGGTCCCAGCTTACAGGTACCCCTCTTGGGAAGGAACTGAAGCATCTACCCCCACTCACAGGGAGCACCCGCCAAAAGGGTAGGGCAAGGCACCAGATGTCATAACAGGGAAATTATACAGATTGGCAATTTGGCAATTCCTCTTGGAAGCAAAATGCCCATTTATAAAAGATCAACTCTTTTACAGGACTTTGAAGTGAACAACTGATCCTGCTGAGAAGCGGTGGCTGTGCAAAGCCCCCAGCATCCTTCCTGCCACCCAGGAGACCCTTCCTCACAAGCATAGCCGGCTGTTTCTTTGACAAGAATGGCAGGAAATCAGGACCAGAAGGCAAGGAAAAAAACTGGGATAAGCACGGTAACTCGGAAGGAACAACACTTCACAGACAACCATACCCGCCTCCATCCGGCCATTTTAAGGGTGGAGGAAAAGGTTAAAAAAGAACAACTCGGAATTATCCCTCATTCATGCAGCTGGCAACACATCAGGTATCAATTAACACAGTTGATATCAGAGCTTGTCTTCTCCCCCTTGGCCAGTGTTATACCCAGACACAGGACGAACAGGCCTGAAGTGAACCTTGGTTAAGCCCTACACCTCCCAAGGATGGGGACCCCGCAAAGAGTTTCCCCAGTCATCCCCAGGGAGGAGTCAGCAGCCAGGTGCCAACTCCAGGTGCCAAAGCAGGGTTTGCTCTAGAAGCCATCGGTCCCTTTTGCACTTCTCCAACCCCCCTTGCTACATTCCCAGCTGTAAGCAAGCACTGAGGAAGAAAAAAAAATAATCCCAAATCCTCCACAAGAGAGCGGGATGTCAGACAAGGGGCACTGGACAAGGGGCATCCAAGCGGTGCCTTGCCTGCCAGGGTGGGGCTGAACTCACTTCCAAGACAAAAAAGCATTCCGTGGGATGGAAAGCAGAGTGTTTAAAACACGAAGCCAGCAGCCTGTTCGGGCATATCTGGCTGCCCCCGGGCGCAGGAGCAGGACACTCCTGCCAGCCAACCTCGCGCTGCCGGAGGCTGTTCTAACCGGGGCAAACCTGGCTCGCAGGGAAACCGGGATACGCCGCCTTTTGCTAAATTAGCCGCACGTCTGCATGGATTATTTCAAGCAAAACTTTCTCAGGAAAGGCAGCCTCTTCAGCCTGGACAGAATTTGCATCCTAAAATAACTTCCCGGGCGGCGGGGGCAGCGGTGCCGGCGCGGCCGGGTCCCGGCCCCGAATCCCCCCGCATCTGCTGAGCGCCCCCTCCGCTGCGGCGGGCGGCTCGGCCGGCGCCTCCCTCCCTCCCCTCCCTCCGCCTGGCAGCATCCCTGCATCCTCCCTCCCTCCTTCCCTTCCCCGGCTGGGCAGCGCCGCTTTCCCCGCAGCAAGAGGGGCTGCGGGAGCGCCCCCCGGCTCTGCCCCCCGCCCCACAAAGGCGCCCATAAACATCTGTAGCGGCTGGACGCGAGCATCTTAAAGGTCTTCTGCAAGCTCAAACCATCCTACGATTCTACCTTCCCCTCTGCATATCTATTTAAAAACAGACATAAATAGATATGCATGTACAGTTACATATGCATGCATTAAAAGGAAGGATGATCAGCCCCTTCACCCTCCAAAAAAAATTTAAAAAAGGAAAAAAAAGCAGCCCTTAAGGCACATCCTAGACAGCAAGTCTCAATGCTGGGGGACAAGAAGGAGGCTAAAGCCAGGCGCAGGCAGACGAGCAGTATTGCAGCCCCCTTATTTAAAGGCTGGGAGGGCTCATCCCCCGCTTCCCGCCGCCCCTGTGCTCACCCAGAAGATGAAGTTGAAGACGAAAAGGAGGTATTTGATACACTTGGTGCAACCTTCCACTCCCATGGCGACGGCTCTCCCAAGTCTGCGCTGCCTGGCTGAGCGAGGCGGCGGCGGGCGCAGAAATCCCGCCCCGCCCGCGCCCCGCCCCGGAATCGCCGCTGGGACACGCCCCAGGAACGGGGCTGGCACCGGCACCCGCTCGCCTTCCCGAAACTGGGGGTCGTCTGCTGTTTCCTCCTTTCTTACATCATTTTTTTCCTTTCCTTTTCTCCCTTTTCCTCCTCCACTTTTCCCAGTTTTTTTCCTAACTCTTCCATTTTGCTTTCCCCTATTTTTCTATTATCTGCCTTTTTTATTTTTCTTTTTTCTTCCTCTTTTGAATTTTCCCTCCCCTCCTTTCCCCCCTTATTTAATTTTTAGTCTTCCCTTCCCTTCCCTTCCCTTCCCTTCCCTTCCCTTCCCTTCCCTTCCCTTCCCTTCCCTTCCCTTCCCTTC